TACACCCCCCCCCCCCACCAACAATTCCTGCGGGTACGAGACTCAGACTCGAACCCGTAACCTTTGGGTTACAAGTCCGACTCTCTAACCATTAGGCCACGACTTCCCCAAGTGTGTGTGGTTTGTGTTAAATAATCTTGACGTTGGTCTACTTAAATCTTTGCACTTGATTAAATAGGCATTTGTTGTTAACAGAAAAAATACAAGAGGTTAAATTAAAATTAACTGGCCAATAATATATAATTAATTAAATTTTATGTTCCACACCATACTGAACATTTTCAAGTTGAATGATGCCGTCTTGAGGTTGACAAATGATATTGTCTTGTGAAAAAAACTTATTGGTTCTATTTAAAAAATATTTTCAAATATTTCAGTTTGGTTTGTTTATTCACAGGACAGTAAATAGTGACAGAAATTTTTAAAAAAGTGAAGTTAAATGGAATGCAGGACAGACTCAATCCTGTGTCACCCACACAGGGTTTAAAGCAAAAAAAATCCTGATCCTGAACTTTTTTCCGGGGTTTGCGGGGGCGGACACATACACAGGGCTATTTGACCAAAAAAAAAAGAACATTATTTGAAAATGATTTTCCTTGAAACTAACTAGTAACGTATCTGCCATTGCCATTAGCCCTTGACAGGCTCAGACTACAGATTATGGAGGGATATTTGAAACAGCAATACCAAGAAAGTTTACTCACTACAATATGGTGCAAACACATGTAACATTTAGGATGCTTTTGATATCAAGTTTTGCTGGTTAGCTTTGTCCTTGACAGGGTACAAGATGACCTACAATCTAAAACATGACATTTCTGAAATTGTTTTGTTCAAAAGAAATAATGGTAAATTAAATACTAGGAAATGAATATAAAATAGGAAATATACAAAGACAGTTTACTACAGAAAACTACAGTTCAGTTCAAATAATAACAACAAAATAAAATGCTCCAAGAACTGGTAACTTAAAGGTTCACCCAAAAATGAAAATTAGGCTGTGTTTTACTCACCCCAGAGCCATCCTAGGTGTATATGACTTTCTTCTTTTAGACGAATCCAGTCAGAGTTATATTAAAAATTGTCTTTGATCTTTCAAGCTGTTTAATGCCACTCAGCGGGTCTTGCATGCATCAGTCCAAAAAAAGTTAAATAAAAAGCGCCCATCCATAAAAAAAAAAGTGTCTCACACGGCTCCGGGGGGTGATCAAAGGTCTCCTGTAGTGAATCGATGCGTTTTTGTAAGAAAAATATCCATATTCAAAACGTAATAATCACTTTATTGTAGCTTGCGCCAACAGTTGTACATGGAAGCAGCTCCGGGCTGATGACGTATGAGTTCAGCGTTGTGCATGTGCCGGTGAGTCTCGTGAAAACCAACGTTTGTTAACAGGAGCAAAGGAAGCAAAGTTTCCTTACTTTAGCAAAGGAAAACCAGTCTCCTCTTGGCTTATATCGAAATCCTCCGACATTCTTCTTTACAAATCCTCGTTTTGTACTTCTAATTAGTGACCGTTGTTTTGTTTTGATCTCTCCCCTGCGCTTCCGCGTGCGTCACTTCTGAGCGGCACATGCGCAAAGCTGACCTCATACGTCATCTGCCCGGAACTCTTTCCATTTACAACAGTGAGCGCAAGCTAGATTAAAGTGATCGTTGTTTTGTTTTGATCTCTCCCCTGCGCTTCCGCGTGCGTCACTTCTGAGCGGCACATGTGCAAAGCTGACCTCATACGTCATCTGCCCGGAACTCTTTCCATTTACAACAGTGAGCGCAAGCTAGATTAAAGTGATTATTTGCTACAGGAGGCCTTTGTTCACCCCCGGAGCCGTGTGAGACACTGTTTTTTATGGATGGGCGCTTTTTATTTCACTTCTTTTGGACTGAAGCACTGCAACACCCGCTGACTTCAATGATAGAGCTTGGAATAATAATTAGCTACATTTACAGTATATAGCACTTTGGTTACCATTCTGGGTACTCAAAGCACTTTACATGAAAGCGGGGGAAACTCCTCAACCACCACCAGTGTGCAGCATCCACCTGGATGATGCGAAGGCAGCCATATTGCGCCAGAACGCCCACCACACACCAGCTTATTGGTGGAGAGGAGACAGAGTGATGAAGCCAATCATTTTATATGGGGATGATTAGGAAGACATGATGGTCAGAGGCCAATGAGCAAATTTGGCCAGGATGCCGGGGTTATACCCTATACCCCTATACCCCTTTTTTTATCTAACTCCAACTGGATTCGTCTGAAAGAAGAAAGTCATATACACCTAGGATGGCTCTGGGGTGAGTAAAACACAGCCTAATTTTCATTTTTGGGTGAACCACCTGGATGATGCGAAGGCAGCCATATTGCGCCAGAACGCCCAACACACACCAGCTTATTGGTGGAGAGGAGACAGAGTGATGAAGCCAATCATTTTATATGGGGATGATTAGGAAGACATGATGGTCAGAGGCCAATGAGCAAATTTGGCCAGGATGCCGGGGTTATACCCTATACCCCTATACCCCTTTTTTTTATCTAACTCCAACTGGATTCGTCTGAAAGAAGAAAGTCATCTACACCTAGGATGGCTCTGGGGTGAGTAAAACACAGCCTAATTTTCATTTTTGGGTGAACTAACCCTTTAAACAAGGTTTGTACAGATACTGCAAAATAAAATTCCAGGACTTGCACTACCTTTT